CATGTCGCAGAAACTGCAGGGAACACCTACATGCTGATGGGTCATTTAGCCTGAATGAATTCTAAGGTGTCACGCCCCCCCCCCACCTCTGAAAAAACAACACACCTCAGTCCAGCAGCTGGAAAGGTTAAGTACCTACCCAGAGAGAGATGAGGTGCTGCAGGTCTTCCAGGAACCTGCATTCAGCTGACTTCATGAAAGACAAAGAGTTTCTGAAGAATGTGTAATGATGGCCCTCAACTGTCAACAGAACAGTACTCATGGGCACAACTCACAAGCAGCCAACTATAGGAAGGCACATTAAAATTAGAAGTCATGTTTGCAAATGCGTCCTTTGCCTAAATATAAATGGCGCAGACAGACCATCTTCCATTCAGCTCTACCTAACGGTGACTACTTGCTCAGGTTAGCTGCTCTTCACAGTATTCCAAATTTTTTTAAGAAATTCAAGCTTATATTTAATCCAGATCTTACAACAAGAAGGCTAAATGAAAATCATGGTGTTAATGATAAGCAAATAAGAATAACCCCATTTGTAGCAAATTGATTTTGTTAAAGGGTAATTTAAAGATATTAGGCCCAGTAAAGCATTACATAATTGAATCTATTTTTCCCCCCATACAAACTCGAGACTTATCATCTTCCCTAAGCAGAGACAAAGTTACGCACAGGGCATTTTCTCAGCTTCCTCTGGGGGTGGCGGGAAGATGGTAGGAGTCAGGGTCTAGTCCTAGCTCTACCAGGTATCAGGTGGAAGGCCATGGCTATGGCACATAACCTGTGTGGGCTTCGGTTTCTTCAACTCCAATGCATGGGATCTGTAGAGACTCTCCAGGGAGGCCATGAGACAGGAGTGTAAGGTAACTATAGATGAACACCCTGGCCCTATTTATTTGGGAAATGCCTAGTAAACTTCAGAGGAAAGTCAGAAGTGGACAAAATAAAAGCACTGACAAACCAGGGAATAAACTTGACCTTGTTTTTTATAGCCATGGGAGCAAAGAGTCTAAAGTTATATTATCTCATCTCAATCTGACACGGGCTAATAGATTTCTCTTAAAAAAGAAAATCTAGACACAAAATATTTCAGGTACTTTTTTGCTCATTGCCCATCAGTTAATATGTTAGACCTCATCTTTGGGCCTAGTACTTTGACAATTTATGGGAAAAGCCTGTTGTGTCATTTACACACAATTTTGATGGATGCAAAGAATTTCAGGCTGTGAATGTTTTGGTCCCCCAGTCGGAAGGCTGGAATAAAAAGGACGTATCCTGAAGAAGTAGCTAGCCACGGGACAGAGATGCTATGTGTCACTCCTCAAAGGGCCAGCGGATAGACTTGGAAATAGTATAAATGTCATTTCATATATGAGAGGTTAGAGGTGGATGTCTCTAGAAAAATATAAAATCAGTGTAGTTGCTGGCTTTATATGTCTAATTATAAACATTGCAGGAATTTATGCAGAAAAGTCCATCTTTTGTCTTTTTGGTGCTAAGGAAGAACTCGGAGACCCTGCACATATGGGGCAAACATGCTATCAACTGAGCTACACCCCAAGCCTACAACATATATCTCTGTTACCAAGTATATTTAGAAAAATGTATTCCATACCAGAGATTTTATTGGTGTTTAAAATCAAGACCATTTTAAGAAAAACAAAAAGGTCTACCTTTGAAGATCTATGCAGCCATCCATCCATCTAATAATGCAGTAACTTTTTCTCCTACCCAACAGTCCTTCCTAAACGTCATTTTCTTAGGGGCCACAGAGCTAATTACAAAGTGGACAGGTTTTGCAATGATCTATTTGCTGACCTTGTCTGTTCTTATTGTGACCAACTTGACTGGGTGGGAAATATGGGGGAAAAGGAGTCTGGAGAGCCCTGAATATATTTCCAAGTATACCTACCAATCATTTAAAAAGTCAAGATTTAAATTACATAGTATAAATTTACTTAAGAATAACATTTTGCTTAGAAATCATATTATTTTATACTTGGGCAATGTTTAAGAAATCACAGCTTTCAACTCAAACTGATGGCTTAATATAAGCAGAGTGTTGCTGTGCATGTCTTGAAATATGTAAAACCAAGAGGCTGCCTCTGAAAATGGAACTTAAATTTCACAGGGAGTCTAGGCTTTCCTTCTATCCATGCATAAGTTCAAACATTCTATCTCTAATAATTTCTTTACATTTATTTATTTATTTATTATTTATTTATATTTATTTTGTGTGTGTGCGTATTGTGGTGCACATGTGGAGGTCAGAGAACAACTTGTGGGAGTCAGTTATTTCCTTCTACTCCTGGGTTCCAGGGATCTAACTCAGGTCATCAGCCTTGGCAGCAAGTGCCTTTACCCAGTGAACCATCTTGCTGGCCCTAGACTTTTTGTCTTTCAAAGAACTGAATCCTCCTTATGAGAGAGAAACACTTGGCTCAGTGATGGCAGCCATTTGGATTTTTGCTTTTCAAGGTCCAGACATCACCCTCCCCCTGTTCTACCCATCACAGGCTCTGCAAATGGGACAAAAATTCCAGGTAAGGAATGCCATGTAAAGGATGCTTAAAATGAGACTAAGTATTGAATCCAAATTTCATATGGTAAAAGCGAAAGCCAAATTCTCCCAAACTGTAATCATAACTGTTGAAGCTCAGCAGGAAACTAATCACCAATATACAGAGGATTTTCAAAGGTGCCTCCCATCTGTGCATAAACTGGAGGAAGAATCTATTACAGGACAGAGGTTTCCCACCAGGGTCTTCTTTACTCTTACAAGTCCCTTTTCATAAACAGAGGCTGTACACCCATACAATACTGGAACTCCTCACAGCACTCGGCTGCCAGCTGACAACACTTGGCCTACGTACTTTAAATAAATGCCCCCCCCATAATAAATGCTATCACTACAATCCAAATGGTAGCACAAGTTTGTTATTAATTAAACAAAAAACACTACTGAAGGATGAGACGAGAGCTGCTTAAATGAAGATTTATTGCTTCTTAAGTATGAAACCACTTTAAACCTAAACTTATTTGACAAGACAGAGAAAGGATTTTCTTCTTTGGTGAGTTCAAAAGGCCTGATTTAATGATGTTTCAAAAACATCATTAAGTCAGGCAACAAAGAGGGTGTTTCTCTTTTATAGTTGCTTGTCCTTTCCTCCCTTCCTCCTTGTTCACAGGCATCAACAGGGCAGAAAGCTATACTGTGAAGAAGAGATGTTTTGTTTTGCACGACAAATCTAATTATGTAAGCTCTCTTACATATGGAACCAATTTAACTATTAAAACCGAAAGGCAGCAGGGAAGTATTTAATATGATTCTGGGCCAGGTTTTTTTTCCTCCCTTAAATCTGATATGGAAACATTGACAGCATTCCCCACAAACTAAACTATTTTTCTTCAGTTAAAACTTGTACCAAAGCAAGATAATCCTATTAAGACACAGAATGTTGTGATGCTGGGACTGAAATATTCTAATTGTCCAGATTTCTCTTCCTCTCTCCTTCTCTTTCCCCCCACCCCCTCTAATTGAGTTTATATGAAAATTACATTGCTGGTACTTCTGGACCATGATATTTCCTCTTTCTTAAAGCACAATACTATGAATCTATTAGTTTATGACAGCCAGAGGTGCGGGAGTGCTTTTGGGGAGGAGAAAGCTGAAATTCTCAGGATTGTATCAGGGAAAGCTGTATTAGAACTTCACTTTGTACTAGACATAAAAAAAAGCAAAAGCCTACCTACCTACAAGGAAACATCAACTTGAACCAACTTTGTCAAAGTTGTTGTTAGTGTGCTACAGCCGACAGTGACCTACTGTTCAGTAAGGGGGTAAAGCAATGTAAAAGTCTGCTTGCCTTTTCCCCAATCAACACAATTGATAAACAGAATGGGCCCCTACGGGCACCCACACTTCCCAAATAGCAAAATCTATTTTTTAATTTAAAAGGGGGGATGAAAATAAAACGTCTTCTTTGAGTCACTTTCCACTTGCAGGTTTAATGAAAAGCAGCAATAGTGAGGGGTTTTGTGCGTGTGTGTGTGTGTGTGTGTGATTTCTTTTATATAACAAATCATTAAACACCTTAATATTTTTCCTTCCCAAATAATTTCACACACTTATCACGAGAAGCTCTCCCCTCTTACTTCACCAGTCACAAATTCTGAAAAATTATTAATTCTCACTTCCCGCAAGAGGAAGGGAGAGCATTCTAAATTTGCCGTGGGCACATCCTATAGAACGATTTCTTTACACACAGCTAGCTCATCTTAGCGTCCTGGATGTTTCGACCTGTTAATAATTAATAAAAGATGCCACCCAATCTCTAGTGAAAAGCTCCCTGATCGGAGAGTAAACCCAAACGCAGATATGGAAAGAGCGTCCTTCATCCTGGAATGCAACAACAAAAATGCCCCAACCTAGCAAACGTTTAACGAGTACCCCGGGCGCCCATATCTGGCAGGCAGAACACCACAAGACCATCGGGGTCCACACAGTGGCTGCGGTTTAGAACCGCCTGACAGATGGAGCTTAAAGCCCCAGGCAGGGCGCCGGAGCCTGCGACACAGTTCGGACAGATAATCCACTGTGAGGACCCAGCAGGCGCACAAACGCGCAGGGTGCTGCGGGCTGAGTCCTTCCAGCGCCGTTCGCAAGCGTCTAAGTGCGTGTCTCTGTTTCTCCTCTCCGCACAAACTACCTCCTGCGCACCTCCAAACTTTGCCTTTTGGGTCAGAAACTTCTTTGAGTTGCCTGGGCTCCTTCTTGCCTCAAGTGAAGACACTGGGAATCAGTTGTCTCAGAAAACCCTTTCTCCCGGTCCTTTCCATCTCGCCACCGCCGGGCTCAGGACACTGAATCAGTGCGGGAGGCGGGGAGCCAAGGCTCCGCCGCGGTTAACCCGCGCCAGTCGGCTGTCACTTTAGTCTAACCTCGGCTTCTGCCTGCCAATACCATGGGCTGATCCGGATGTGCCCCACATGCATGCACAAACCTCAGTAGTAGCCGGGACGCGCCACGGCCGGGGCTGCCACCGAAGGCGACTTGGCACGCTGGGCGCGCGGGGCTTTGGGAAGTGGAGGGGTCCTGGGGACGCTGCGCAGACCCGCCGCACTTCCCCGGCCGCTGCCCGCTCCGGAGCTGTGAGCTGTGAGTGTGGGGTGACGGCGGGGAGCTCGGATGCGAGGCTTGGGGACACTAACCGATCCCCCGGGATGACACCACGATCATTCGTCTGCACAACCCGGCCCGGCCGCCGCGCCTCCCCCAACCTAGGCCGGAGCTGTCCGGGGGTGCGGGCCCTGGGGACCCAGTGCGGACGTCCCCAGCTTCCTCCCAGCTTCCCAGACCCTCGAAGCTCTTCCCAGAGTGCAGCGACTCAGGGCAAACTTTCTTTGGGAAGCCCCTCGGGTGCCAGGAGGACCTAGGACAGTGACCGAGCGAAGGGGACGGCAGAGCGGCGAGCGGCCCCGCGCGCCACTGCCCCCGACCAGGCAGGCCGATCCCCAATCCCGGCTCCGGTGGCGCAGCTGCAGTGGCCTGGGAGGCCGCGGCGGGACTCGGGTGGCAGTCCCGGGCCGTACGTGCGCTCGGGCAGGCGCGCCCACCCCTCCCCCTGCGAGCCCTCCTC